ATGCCAGTTTGTGTGTTCTCCAACACAACTCTCACAACGCTTCTCTGAACGTACTCGCTCTCCCAATGGGGAGCTTACCTAACACATACTTTTCTTATCAAGTTTTCTGATATTATATGTAATAAAAACAGTTCAGGTTTAAAAATGTACATATTTCCCTATCTGTTGTGTCCCGCCACCAGCCAGCAGAGCTGGCAGCAGAGTCAGACAGTGAGGAGGTTGGGGAGGAACATGGGCCAGTCCTGGAGCCTGAGGAAAGCTCAGACAAGGGCTCTGTGTTGGAGGCAGAGAGGGAGCTAGACAGCAGTGAGACAGAGGAACAGCTAGAGCCTGTTCCCAGTGTGCACGTGTGCAGAGCTGCCAGAAGAAAAGAACAACTCAGAAATCAGGGTAGACTTGGGAGGAAAGTCACAGGTGGAAGGTGATTGGCCCTCCCGTAGGAAATAAAAGAGGAACGAAAGAGGAATGGGCTTTTGCAGGAAACAATTCGTTTGTTTGGTTGTTAAGATTTGTTTCAGGAGTGTGAAGATCTTTCCATGAATCTCAGAGACTCTGTGCCCAGTCTTTCCTTGCACGCCACCTCATTTGGAAAATATTTACATGGCAGCTTTCCAAGATAGATAAGGCCTGTAGGCATAAATATTCCTTTGAAAGACTGTTTGCCACGCCTTGCTGTAATTCACATTCATTTAATAAAAGGGGTTTTGTTGGTACCAGGACTCTGCCTCATGCTTTTTAGGGAAGCCTAGGTCAGAACACAGAACCTCAATTGTGCTCCAATCACCAAGTTTTGATTCTCCTCTGCAGAGGCTTCTGGTTGAATTAAGGGTTTTTTTTGGGGGGGGGGGAAGGGCATGTATTAGATGTTTTCAGAGTGGGAGTAAAAACAGCAGAGAATTTAACTTTTGCTTGGCAAGCAAAAAGTTTTACCTCTTAGTTATGGCTCATTTCCCAACCTGGAGTTCATACAGAGACTTACAGTGTGATATATGTTCTGGAATTAATCTTTTAGACAACCACTGATACTCAAAGATAGGGAGAAAGTAGTTTATGGAGGCATTCTGTGTTGCGTGATCTTACACATTTTACTTTTAAATCTGTATTTTTATGGAATCCAAATGATTATTGCAAGGAACTGTGTACAACAAAAAGCTTTGTAAACAAGACAATCATACATATTACCTATTGAATAATTAATCCAATGTTAGATACAGGAGAGAATCTAAAATTCCCCTTGTAAATAACATACCAGTGCATGAATTACATATTACTAGGAAAATGATTTTCTTTTGCTCAATCAATACCTAAGGCATGCATAATTTTATTGTTTTTAAATAATCTACTGGGCAATCATAGATATGAAATTCCTTAGTTGCTTAGGTATTTGTTGTATGCCTAACTGCAACCCGATTGTAACTCAAAACAGATACACAATGTATACTAGTATTGGATTTTACATTTACATTTACTATAAAGTTCAGTTTTATGTATGTATCATATTTGTAAAGCAGCTCAACTCCATAGCAAATCTGGCTTGGTTAAAAACAAATTTACATGCACAATGAAAAAATAATATAGACCATATAGATATTAAACAGGAAAAGGGAGCCCTGTATCACATCACCCATTAGGGCCTCATGTCAATCTCTTTCCTCCTTCCATTACTGGTAGTATTAAAATCCACCGAAAGAACAGGGATTATCAGGACACTAACATGCCATCCTGGCTTTGCAAGAGGTCATCCCTAAACTATCAACCATGATGCTATCTGTATACTATATCCTAACCTGAAATGAGACTGAAACAGGCCTGAATAATCTGCTTCCTTCAGAGCCCTCTGAAACTGCCTTCTTAGCAATCCTCCTAAGAACAGGAAGGTTAGAGTGGGTGAAAATTGTCCAGAACTATTGGATCCAGCAACAACCTCTTAAGGGAGAAGCATACCACTAGTGAACTAGGCCATCCTTCTGAAAAAGTGATATTACTGAATGGAATCTGAAGGCAGGACAAGAAGCAATAGATGGAAACTAATCAAAGAGAGAACCTAGAACTAAAGAGAAATATCCTGTTAGGACAATTAATCAGTGGAATGACATGTCTCCATGTGGGTGCTCCAACACTGGGTGTATAACAAGAAGATATTTGTGTGAAATGGTATAGGGTTTCCTGCTTGAGTAGAGGATTGGATGAGAAGACTCCAATGTGCCTTCCAACTCTGTTATTCTGTTATTCTGAACCAATTATACACCACCAGAAAGAACTTCACAAATCAAGAGGGCAACGACCAAACAAGCAGTCAAGTTAACAGTCCTGAGGATCATGTCCAAGTGGACATTCACATTCACATTTCACATTCAAACACATACTAGGTAACCACATAAGACTTCCATCACCTCAAATGTATTGGCTTATTTACAGTCCACTTCTAAGTGAATCTGAATGATTTTATCTATCAGATGTCTAGAATATTCATGCCAAATCTTTGCCAAAAACCCAATCCAAGTGACAACTAAGACCAAGTGACAACTAAGACCTACTAGATCCATAAGAAATCCCAGCTTTCTTATGGAACCCATTAGAGTTCATTTGTTGCCTGGTATCTAATACTGTAGGTCCTAACCCACTGAATGGATAGAGGAAATCCCAGTAAAGCAGTACACTTATCAGAGACTGATGAACAAGGGCAAAGGACTGTTAGCTATGTTCTCCATTATCAGATTATATCTATATTTCCAAGATTTTTAATCTCCAACAGCAATGCATATGGTCAATATGAATGCAGTACAGTATCATACCTACAGATACATTCAGCTGCATTAGAAAGATAATGAAATGTAGCACAAGACTAAGTTAAAGATTCATATAACTTGGATATGCAGTCAACTCTTCTTTCTTTACATGAATATTGTGGCATCAAATCTGGTAGTTTTGCACACACACACCCAAAAACCCCTTCCAAACACTGTGAAACACTGACTTCACTCAGTGAACTGCTATAGGAGCAGTGGCAAGGTAAGTTTTTCCTTCTCTCCAATCCTTCAAAAAAGCTACATACATATACTGTAAGTTTAAATTTCTCTTTCATGGATGAACTATCATGCATGTTTTCATTATTAAATGATATTACCTTGGTGGTGTAAGTGTGCCCATCGGAACCACAAACAGAACTGGCATGCGTCAGAGGGCATGGCTTGCATTTAACTAAATTAGATGATCCAGCCCAATGCCTCTGGGGCAGATTTCCTTTCTTTTGCCGAAGGCTGTGAAAGATATGGAGAAGAGAGATTAGAGACTCAAAATGACTCTTCAAGGTATAAGGCTCCACATAACTGAAAACAATCTGCATTTTGTGTAGGGTAATATTCATTTCAAATCCTGGCTTCTCCAAGTACATTCAAAAAAGAATGAAAGAATAACCTGATAGTTATTGTTAATGTAGCCACCCCATGTTATTGATGATGTACCTGAATGTGACACATCACACAATATTCTGTTTAGTATTATCAGGATGACCTATTGGAGCAAAGTTAAGGATTTAATTGATTATAAGTGTCTAAATCTGGATCAAACTCAATTTGATTTCTCATTTTGCTTATTACCATTTCAACAAAAGAGGGAATTAAAAAATATTGGTGGTGCAAGTAGAAGAGGTAGAGTTATACATACATTTTTATACCCTGATAAGATGAAAGGAGACATGGGAATATCTTGCACAATATATACCTCATTTGTCTTTATCTGTTATTTATTGATTTGATTTCAATGGTTGTGCATTTACCAAGCAAAAAGGTTGGAAATCAGCTATCATTATAAAAAAGAAAATTAAAAAAGTTTCACTTCAATTAAAAATACCATGATGGGGACAAATACATTATAAATATATATTATCAGAGGTTCGCACAGCACACTGTCCATCCCTAGTGAAAGACCAGGTCTACAAGTCTCCCAAAGGTTGGCATGCTTAGAGATACCTGAAACTTTGCTCCAAACAGAACAGAAGGTTAGTTGTCTAGCTTATTTACTCCTTCTTCAGCACAGAACATTTCATTCATACTTCAGATTTTTCCATGATGTGATCAGGAAGACAGTTCATGTAGGTAAACATTTTCTAAATAGGGCACTATTTGAGATGTTACTAGGACCTGCTTGGAATTGGAATGGTATGTTTGAGATTTATCAGCCATTTACTTTCATAAATTGCTCAATTGAACTCATAATGACACAGAGCAGACGAGGTTCACCCTGGTAGAGAGCAGAAATGGAATATTCTGGACTTTTCCAGAAAGTTCTGTTCTTATTCTTAAGATTTCATAAATGTAAAAGAACTGTGTATCTAAGGAATTCCTTTAAATTGTTTTTTATTGATAACGTTTGTGTGTGTGTGTGTGTGTGTGTGTGTNGGTGTAACGCTGACCTTCTGTTTCCACAATTATCCTATCAACATTTTTACCTTGCCAGGTAATATTCCCTACTTCAGTTACTAACATGCTAAATAGAAGATGGGAGAGGAACATGGATTAATATATGCTTTATAATGATTACTGGATTCAAAACTAAGCTGAAGAAACAATATCATTGATTCTGGCTTTAAAAAAGGAATTAAATCCTATAGTAAATAATCAAAAGACTTTCTGAAATATCTGACATTCAGCCTGTTCAGTAAAGATCTACTCAGCTTGTGAAACAGATTGCCTGAGTGCATAACAAAAGCTCTCGATTTATCAAGCCAGTCTCAACTTGTTTATATGATTATGGACTAAGTGGCTCTGAAGATAGGAGAGATAGTTAAGGAAGAATAGAAATCTATCTTTCATTCTATTTTCTTTGTGGTTTGCTGGTGGGATTGCAAAAACACCGGCAATTTCTTTGGCAATTATGATTTATATGACAGTAATCAAAACTGATATGCCTTTCATAGTAGAGTAGCTGTGCTTTTTTTTTTTTTTTTAGAAAATGGAGCTCTTTGAACCTGAAATTGGTACTGTGTTGCCCAATAATGCAGATAAAAGAATAAAGTTTGGGGTAGGAAAGCTGGTGACAAACATCTGAAATAAATACTTTAAATAATCTTACAATAAGGAGTACAGGGCAGAAAACAATTTACTGGCTCAGCAACTCATTCCTTAGACATATTAAGTGTTATCCTAAGCATATAGAGAAATGCTTGTATGTAACAGAAGAAAGGTAGGAGGTTGATAAATAGGACCAAGGAATTCTAAACTGATGGGCCAATTCAACATGGGATAACAACATTTTTGTCATGAGCATATTCACCAAATGTGTTAATTAGTTCTCCAAATTAAGGTTTATTTGATTCTCTGCTCAGATAGCTTAGAAATTTTAATATGATTATTGTACAGATTACTTGTTCATTCAGGTCTTTATTTTTTCTTTCTAACCAACAGAAAATTGCTCCATTCCTGTTGCCTGACAACCTTATAGTCAGGAGAGTCTGGTGTTACAACTCAGCCTCCCAACCTTCTAGAGAGCTACAGAAGGCAATGACTGTAATATTATTACTTCAGTGGAAAGAGTAGATTACCGTAAGTAATATTTACAAGGGATGAGGAGGTGGAGACTCAAAGCAGCTAGCAAGCCGATTGTGATACCCCAATAGAAAACAACTGCATTTCCACATGTTTCCGTGTCACGCACATGTACAAAGAGGCAGAGTATTGTGGCCCACNCCAGGCTTTCCGCAAAGCCCTTAAAACCTGGCTGTTCCAACAGGCCTGGGGCTGATGAGTTCCCGTCCCCGCTCGAATTGTGTGGCTGTTGATTGCTTTTAAATTGCTGTGTTGTTTGTCCATTGTCTTTTTTTTCCTGTTGTATCCCCCCCTTACTTGGTTTGTGAGCCACCCTGAGTCCCTCTGGGAATAGGGCGGCATAGAAATACAATCAAATCAAATCAATCAATGACTCACTAGCTTACTTTTCATACATGAGTTACATGTTTGCTTAAGATTGTTGTATTTATACTGTGTATTGATACTTTCACTTGGTTTCCTTTTATTTATATGCTTTGTTATGGAGCTAAGATAGAATATTTTTTGTTTAGATTAGATTTAGTACATTGTGTGAACTCAGACAGTCTGGTTTAAAAATTATTGTTTATATAGGAATCCAAGCAAGAGTAGCTTATGCAACTGATCACGATTAACAGTGGTTTAGAGTGATATATTAACTCAGCCACAATCTATGTAATTTACTGTACATAGTGTCAACGTTCTACTACATCTCATAAAAGTCTCATAAAAAGACTTTTAACAATGAGCAAAACACTATTTGAACCTAACTGAAATGATTTTGATTATTTCTATCAGTGATTTAATTAATTCTACACAGCCTCCCCATATGCCCTAATTTATAATTTATGCTCCATCCCATTTATATTTCAGAAATTACTCTTAATAGATGAACTTTAATAATATTTTCTCTCCCCTGGCTTTCTTGTCAATTTGAAATACAATTGTAGGAGTAATCTCGAACCATTTGAACAGTTTGCTAAATTTGAAGATCTTTCTCAAGAAGTAAGAGTGATAAAAAAATAATGAAGAATAAAGATGGAGGTTGAACTCTGTTAGAAAGAACACTTAAGAATATAGAAGCACCGATGTTAACAGCAGAATATCCCATCTTGTAAGATGGTTAGGTCACACAAATTTTTACTAAAGAGGATTAGTAGGGACTCACTAACAGGAACTAATAATCTTGCTCTTCGTTGCAAGAAAATGTCCTGAAGGAAGAGGCTGCCATGAGACAGGGGTAGACATTCTTTTTAGTTCTTAAGGAAGAGTGTTTGCAGTATGTCAACATTTTGCTGGGCACATTCTATACAATTGATCCAGTCTTAACACTACCTCCATAGCCTAAAGAGATCAGACTTACTCTTTTCTTATAAAGGGACTTGAGGCATAGTGTCTCTTTAAGGAACAGCACTTTTTTCAGACATAAGTGGAAACAAAACTCTCACAGAGGTTCTTTAAGCACTTATTTGACCAGAACAAGCCAGAAAGACCTTATTTAGGTAGAAAAACCTAAGTCATTTCTTTTTCTGCTTTGTTTATTTTCTATTTGAACTCCTGACTTACGAAGCTGTTTTTCTTTTAGATTTTGCTGAATTGCAGAATAATCTCATCAATTCAGTTTAGAACTGTCCATGGTCCTAATTCTTTCTTGGAATGCTTTGTGTCTACCTGGATAAATGTGACTTTTTGTTGCTCTTTTCCCAAACCCTATTAGGAAACATGATACTGGGAAGGTGATGCCCCAAACTCATGCATCATCCAAATCATGTGTGCAAATGACAATCATGAACATGTGTTTGCATTACAAGGTGAACTGGATTTCAGTATCATGACACACGTTTTTATTACTTTTTATTAGTCACAAATAAAACATATTTTAGCTTCATGAGGTTTAATACACATGAATTTGGAAAGATCTATAATTGGCAGGCCAAATACAATATATATAGCTTGAACTTTATCCAGTACATGGTGATTACAAAGCTAGCTGTACTGTCAAATATTAACAATCATTTTTAAAGGAAATATATTTTTATTTTGCTTTTTAGTTAATGAAAGTTCTTATAAATGTTACTTATTATTATATAAACAATGCAAAATCACAGTTTCCAGTTCTTTAGCTGCTGTTGGTCTTCATATGGATTGAATTTTTCCCAAGAACATAGAATGTTATAATGCATCAGCATAGCATACTGTAAGTGTGGATACAAGTAATGTGGCCTTTTATCCATTTTAAAAAAATGGACATTTTGTCAATGCATGGTTTTTTTAAGTGCTGTCCAAGGTTTTTTGGTATGGCACCCAGTGTGCTGATAACCATTGGGACCATTATGGCCAATTTATGTCATAATCTTTCAACTTCAATTTTCATATCTTGATTCTTTGTGGTCTTCTTATTTATATATTTCTTTACAATTTATGTATTTATAGTTTACTATTATTCTCTCATGTAGAAACACTGAGTGGTTCACAAAAGATAAATAAAATAGTGAGACACTGTCCTAGGGATTAATAAAAGAAGCTTCTCCAAAATATAATGGCAGTTGATTTAGAAAAGGTCCATTTTATCAGGAATAAATAATATTGGCCAGATGTAGGTGCACATGTTCAGATCATGTCTCTAAAAATAATCTGAACAGAGCATTAAATAATTATTCTCCATAATACATCATATAAGTCATCTCCTTTTATGACAGAAGACCTAAGTGTATGAAAAGGAAAATGTTAAACTT